TGTTTGGATAGTTTTAAACAGGAGTTTTACAAAAATTATCCAAAGATAATTTCCAAATGAATCTTCAGAAATTCATGCAGTGGATTCAAATACAGTACAGTATACCAGCAAAACAATGCAAATGAGCAGAAGTAAGTTTTGTCTCCAAGACAAATTAATGTCGTTACTATCTTAAAATTAATATTTATATATTAATTTTAATTCATATATGTATTGCTTCAGCTTAAAAGGGCTACAGTACCACAATGAGTTGTTAACTTTAACAGCTGAAACCAGCCTAAGCAGGTTGGCTGGTTTTAATTGGTTTTCCAGACTGGTTATAGCCACTTCTTTAGCTGGTCAGGGCAGGAGACCAGCTGAACAACCAGCTAAAACCAACTGAACACCATCTTAGCCAGTCTGGGAGAGCAGCTAAAATTACTTCCAGCTTATGCTGGTTTTAGCCAGACCATTTAATTTCGGATTAACCATGATCTTCACACTGATTCTTAAAATCCCAAGAATGATCTTTTACACTCTGAGCGGAATAGGCCTAAGTCATATTTTAATAAGTCTATCACTTATAGCAGGGGTTCTCAGCTCTGGCCCTTGAGGTCCACTTTCCTGCAGAGTTTAGCTCCAACCCAAATCAAACACACTTGAACAAGCTCATCAAGGTCTTTAGGATTGCTATAAAGTTACATTGGCAGGCAAGTTTGATCAAGGTAGGAGCTAAACTCTGCAGGAAAGTGGACCTCAAGGGCCAGAGCTGAGAACCCCTGACTTTAATAAGACTATCGCTTAATAAGACTATCACTATATTTAAATAAGTCATATTTTACCGTAAAATAAGGTCAGAGTTGACCATGAAATAATGGCAAGAAAATACTTTACTATTGGGGATGCATGATGCTTGAGTCCAGTTCACAAACAAATTAGTCAGTTTATATATTTATGCATGTATGTCATGGATCGGAATTGATTGATGAACAACTTATTTTTATTTGGATCTTTTTTTCTTCAAAAAAAAACGACTCAAAAACTCAAGAGTCACTTCATTCACTGAATTTGTCACAGCGGTTTTTGAATCAATAACAAGTTCCCATTACTGCCAGCAATAGTTTAATGTATTATTTTCCCCAAAATATAATGAAAATAACATTTTAAGTGAAATAGTATACAGTATGTACACCTATAGCCCTACTTAAATGAATCAGAATCGCATTGCACTGGGAAATGTTTACCGATAGCCTATTCCAGCCCTAATTCACTTACACTAATTTTGTAATATCAGTAATCACTATCAAATAAGGCTTCTCTCTTTTTAGTTTGTGGCATTTGCCTCGATTAAAGTGTGGAGACGGCAAATCAAATCATGTCAGTGTAACTGAACAATTTCTTTAAAAAAAAAAATGGCAGATAAATGCTTTGCAGTGTCACACTTCATTCCAGCCCATGAAGGAATAATATCCATTTAATACTGACCCCTTTAAGAGCACATTAAAAAACATGCTGCTGCTGGCAGAAACATCCAATGTAGGGGAATGCCTAGAATGGGGCATAGTCAATCATAATCGCGTCAATAAAATACATCATACATAACTGTACAAACATTTTGATCTTGGAGAACTGTAAACGGAGGGGTGAAAGATCAGAATGAATTATGATTATGGCATTGCTTCGATTCACAAGATTGGATGCTTGTGTTTGAGCACTATGAGATAAAGCTTGTCATTTTAATAAAGAATCAATTCCAGTTTTAATTCGTTTCTCTCTTTTCCTCCTGCCCTCCATCTTGATCCGGACATATATCGATTAACTTCAACAAATCACACAAACTCTCCCAGCATGATCAATGGACATATCAAGACACAATACTGAAGAAAGGTGTCCAGCACAGAACTGTGCAAATAAAATAGCTTTTTTTCAGTCTCAATTTCTTCTCAAACAAACTCTCACAAGTGTCCTAAAGGAATCATGGATCCCAAAGCAAAATAATCAAGAGCTCTTTCAGAACAACAATATAACAAACACATCACGCACACTGCTACATATATCACTGAGTGCTTTTAGGTTCCCACTGAAATTCTTACCCGGATCTGATGCCAGTGGATTGAGTTTTGCGTTTCTCTCCATTTCCAGTCTTTCAATCAGTGCGGCCATACAGGAGACACAGCGCCACCAAATGAAAATGTGAGGAACTGCACTCACACACACACACACACACACACACACACAATAAGACATTAAAGGGATAGTTCATCCAAAAATGAAAATGTGATGTTTATCTGCTTACCCCCAGGGCATCCAAGATGTAGGTGACTTTGTTTCTTCAGTAGAACACATATGATGATTTTTAACTTTAACCGTTGCAGTCTATCAGTCGTATAATGCATGGCAATGGTAACAAAATCTATGAGAGTAAAAAAAACATGCACAGACAAATCCAAATTAAACCCTGCGGCTCGTGACGACACATTGATGTCCTAAGACACGAAACGATCGGTTTGTGCCAGAAACCGAACAGTATTTATATCATTTTTTACCTCTAATATACCTCTAATACATCACTATGTCCAACTGTCTTTGGGCGACTCTCATAGATTTTGTTACCATTGCCATGCATTATACGACTGATAGACTGCAACGGTTAAAGTTAAAAATCATCATACGTGTTCTACTGAAGAAACAAAATCACCTATATATTGGATGCCTTTGGGGTAAGCAGATAAACATCAAATTTTCATTTTTGGGTGAACTATCCCCTTAATGAGCACAAATCACACAGCCAGAAATATAAATATCAAATCTGTACTGTATGTCATGTATGATTTATTAATTCAGAGCTGTGAGAAAACATATGAAATGTGTTCCTATTCACAAATGCATACGTGCTTTGAACGTGCTTTAAATATAAAATAGATCAAAAGTTGAGAAAACATTGTCAAATACTAAAAAAGTAAATTCAATTTTTGTTTTAAACATTTTTAATGGACACCTCAGAGCAGAGCTTTTCTTGGGCCGGCTGTTTAATGGGAAATTGCTTCTGAGGTTCCAATTATATTTCAAATCACGTTCAAATTAGGAATAATGAACAATCCCTGCAGTTTAAAGAGCAGGAGGATGCAATGACACTCAGAAAACTGTAATTTTTGTTTTAAACATTTTTAATGGACACCTCAGAGCAGAGCTTTTCTTGGGCCGGCTGTTTAATGGGAAATTGCTTCTGAGGTTCCAATTATATTTCAAATCACGTTCAAATTAGGAATAATTAACAATCCCTGCAGTTTAAAGAAGAGCAGGAGGATGCAATGACACTCAGAAAACTGTAAATGAAGAAACACAGCAGGACAGCAGCTCAATAACTGTGTGCTTATCCACATGAAATGTCATTTACATTAATTTGACTGTTTTAATCTATTTTTAAACAACTTTATTATTATGCTGCTGATGTCTCCGTCTTGACTTGCTTGATCAACTTCGAGTATTAAAAAGAAACGTGCTGTTCTTTTTTTGCACATCAGTATAAATAATGAGTTCTTTAAGCATCAGGAGAGAAATAAATAAAAAAATGTTCAAACCTGTTTGCTTGCATGTAAACTATCTTGCTTTCTCATTGTGCTTCATCTGAATTAAACTGCAGAGCATCTCAAAAACAGAACACTCTGTTTTGTCCAGTCACTAATTATAAGAGCAGTTTGGGGGAAGTGTTTTTTGTGGTTCATGTGAGAGATGGTTTATGGATAATAGCGGACTTTTGTAAGAGAGATGAAAACACAAAGCAACCATTAGGGAGAGCTGTAAGTCAGTGAAGAATCTGAAGCTTTCAGCAAAGCTACATTTATCCATATTATCACAGGAGAAGACTGCTCATATAACTTATAGAGCATTAGAGAACAATCAAGTGTTCTGTCCGTTGAACATTTTATGCTTCTTAGACATTTTTAGTGCATTAGACTTTTTACACACATTATCTAAAGTTCTGAGATTTGGGACATTTTGGGTAAAATGTCAAATGAAAAGTAGCTTTAGAACGCTATTAGAATTAACTTTAATTGGATCTTATCAACAAAGAATGTCAGCAGCATATAATAAAGATGGATTTGTTTCTTACAAACATGCAGATGGACTGGAGTCGTGTGTATTACTTGTAGATTATTGTGATGTTTTTATCAGCTTTTTGGACTCTCATTCTGACGGCACCCATTTACTGCAGAGGATCCATTGGTGACCAAGTGATTTAATGCTACATTTTCTTAAAATATTCCTTTAATGACTGCTCATTGCTAATTTTGTTTTATTAAAAAAAAAAGAAATATGTATAATACATAAGACTACCTCTATTTTCTAGTAACATGTCTTTATGTAGAGATGTGATAAAGAATAAAAGAAAAAATGCATTTATTGTATAATTTTAAGTTTATTTTAAAAACACTGAACATGTTCTTGGGAACTTTTCTTACTTTCAAACAATAAACGTTCTTAACAAATACAAGATATAAAAAAATGTAATATAATTTAAACATTGTTTTTACAGACTCATATCAGCTAAAATTAAATTACTTTTTTTAAAGGTAGATTGATGTAGTTTTTTTGGCAGTAAGATAAGGTAAACACAAATGTTAAATTACTGCAGAGGATCCATTGGTGACCAAGTGATTTAATGCTACATTTTCTTAAAATATTCCTTTAATGACTGCTCATTGCTAATTTTGTTTTATTAAAAAAAAAAGAAATATGTATAATACATAAGACTACCTCTATTTTCTAGTAACATGTCTTTATGTAGAGATGTGATAAAGAATAAAAGAAAAAATGCATTTATTGTATAATTTTAAGTTTATTTTAAAAACACTGAACATGTTCTTGGGAACTTTTCTTACTTTCAAACAATAAACGTTCTTAAAAAATACAAGATCTACAAAAATGTAATATAATTTAAACATTGTTTTTACAGACTCATATCAGCTAAAATGAAATTACTTTTTTTAAAGGTAGATTGATGTAGATTTTTTTGGCAGTAAGATAAGGTAAACACAAATGTTAAAAATAAATTAACTATAATTAACTTTGAAATCAAAAAAGTGCATTTTTGGAATAAAAACATCAATAGTTGCATCAGAAGTGGAGTCATTATGAGATATCAGTAACTCACATTGTAAGTGTGTTTTGACAGCACAGATAAACTGCTTTATCATATCATAAATTATGATTACTTTTCCCTGAGTTCTGCAGTACCTATATTTTTTTGTAAATTATTAGATGTTGACAGCCAACTGTGACAGCCTTTTTTATCCAGAGACTTGAGTTCTGAAAGTTACAGTATGTTTTCATAATACAATGAACTCTTATCTCAAAAGATTAGGAAAAATATCCCTATAAATATATAATAAACCTACTATCCAATTTAAGGCATCAGCAATATTTGTGAATGTGTGTGAAATGACCTGCAATGGATTTAAAACAACAGACAGAAATATCAGACCAGGAAGAAAGAGAGAGAGATGGACTCTCTCAGGAGGTCAGATGTCAGTCCTTCAGTATTTGTTCTAAAGTTGAGAGAAGGTTCCTCAGTCCATACATGTAGCTCTCATCCGGATTATCGCTGGGAAATACATGAGCAAAATCTATCATCTTCACCTCCACTGCCTCCTCCTTTCCAAACTGCTTCTTATCGCCCATTCCAATTTCCGTTGGCGTTCCTCTCATGCTGAACATTGTGGCAGTACGGGTGACTGTGTGTTAAACTGCTCTGAAAGCTCAAAGCCTCATGGGAGTTGTTAGAGTTGCTCTGTGGCTCCCCCTGCTGATGTTCTGTTCCTGGCTCAGCAGGCTTATGTTTGGATCCATTGACTGTGTGTGGAGAGCCTTCATACACCATCAGCAGAGAGCTGGCATAGAAATGCAGCTGAGTCTGGCTCTCAAACCAGCGGAGAATGCTTTGGATTTTAGAGATGATCAGAGAAACTGCATGCCTCCGTAATTCTTGACCATTATGGAAGAATCTAGTCAGGCCTCAGGGAATAAAAATTCAGATTTCAGTTTTTAGCATTATTATAAACACAGTTCACATTAGTACCAATAGCCTTTTTTTTTTATTATTTCTGAATTCCAGATTTCCACAGCTCTGATCCTACTCATTCATTCATTCATTCATTCATTTTCTTTCCTTGATTTTTCCACACCTGGAAATCACAATTTAAAAATAACAAAAAATGGTATACAATAATAATAATAATAATAATAATAA